GGTCATATCACCAAACTGGTCACTTAAAATCCCACCAAAAAACACAGAAACCATACCCCTGCATCTTAATAACTACTTAATAGAATCTTCTAAAAACTTCAGAATAGAGCTGCATCTATACTAATAAGACTGTTTAAAAGTCTTAGAGTGCTTAGCCCTATATTGTAGATGTTGTTTAGAAGATACTGAAATACAGGGGTAGCTGCAGGCTATCTTAACATCTATACTAGCTATTAGTCTAAGACTTTTAAATAGTTTTATTAGTATAGATGCAGCTCTATTCTGAAGTTTTTAGAAGATTCTATTAAGTAGTTATTGAGATGCAGGGGTATAGTTTCTGTGTTTTTTAGTGGGATTTTAAGTGACTGGTTTAGTGATATGACTGGCTTGGTGATAGAGTACGTTATAGGCTGCTTATTATTAACAGCTATAAGAGCTACTGCTTAATAGAATTCTAGGACTACTGCAAGGAGAACAAGATTATCACTCTCTGCATGCCACCACACTTATCGCACCTCCTGCAGCCTCTTGACGTTGTCCTATACTTGCTGTTGAAGTGCTACTACAGCAACAGGATCTTACTCTTAGCACGCAGCCACATCTACTATATTAACAAAGAAACCTTCCTACTAGCCTTTAAAGTAGCTTTTAAGAGGATGTTTACACTAGAGAATATTCACGCAGGGTTTTAAGGTGCTAGGCTAGCCCTACATAACCCTAAGGTTGTGTTATTGAAGCTTAATGTACAGCTACGTACGCTAACACCACCTACACTAGGCACTGTCGCCTAGGAGGCGCAAACACCACGCAACGCCTGCAAGATAGAGGCGCAGTTAACGCTGATCTAAAATTACATGCAAAATTATTATAGGTTACTAGCAAGTTTATTAGATAAGCAGGTTAAGTAGTTAAGTAAAGGTGCTTAATAGATAGCTTATAATATAGTGTTAGTGTAGGAGGAAATAGGCTACCTATAAGACACTATTACTACGCTTATAAAGCACAAGACCTATAAAAGGCAGTATGTATGTATAGAGGAGACTCTAACAGTTAGTAAGGTATCTAACCTAGTTACTAAAAAGGAGGGTAGTAGTTATAAGGAGGGCAAGACACCTACAAAGAGGGTGCGCGCAGAGAGGCGCTGCAGCCATTGCAGCAAAATTAGGCACAACTCCTGCACCTATAAGGTAGAAATTAAGGATATAGATAATAGTGATGCTTCTAAATAATATTATAATGTTATGTGTAGTATTGTAATTTATTGTAGTGCTGCGCTGCACTGCTGCGTAGGCGCGGCGCGGGTGTTTGGTGGACGACTCACTTGGGTGGGCGACTCGCTTGTGAACCACGTTATCTAGTATTCTGCCTTAGCTTTACACAATGCGTATTTGCCCTTGTGCCTATAGATTAATATTGTGTAACAATAACTGTGTTTTTTAGCAAGCTTTCTGTACGAAAAGTCTTTAGTAGGGCCTAAAGTATTTAGCTCTGCAAGGGCTTCTTCTAGCGGCATCGTGGTGTTAAGTTATAGGGGGGTACAAAGTACGCGTCAATGTTGATGTTGGTGCATTACGCGCCGCGGTGCACAACGAGGCCGTGCACGCTAATCCATGACTAGAAAGTCAGTTTGCCACGACTGTTTTGAGTAAATTGAGCCTGCTGGTTCGGGTTGCCTGTGTGCATCTCGATATGAAGATTGCTGTAGTTTCCATGAACCTCACTGTTGGCACCAATGGTGACTTGGGCGCCAATTCTCGTGTCATGGCCAATGGTTATGCTGCCTGAGCCTCAAAATTTGCAATAAGGTCCCATGGCAACAGCGCATCCGAGAGCTGTCGCTGCGATATTTCTCCATCCTCAATATCCCCTGCACCTGGACTTGGCACATGACGTGAAGGAGACACTTCGGCAATCTAGTCTACCTGAACGTCGTTCGCCGTGTCTCACTTTAGTTAAGGCAGGGTCCGTAAAGTTTTCGGAGACCGTGGCGGGCTATGCCGGCGGTCTCGCGGATCCTGCAGTGCCTGCAAGGATTAGCGAGTTCGCCAAAGGTGGTCCCCTCCACACGTGTGAGCTGATAGCACGGAGCGAGTGTTAAGGAACCGCCCATCGCCGAGGAAATCTTCAAGCACACTCGCAGCTCTGACACCACCAACACAGACAACTACAGCGCAGTCTACCCGCACCTCCTCCACACGCGGGCTCTGATGTACGAAGTCCTCTGCCACACCTTGCCTGCCCCGCTCTTTGTCAAAACGCCCCTTATCCTGGTCTCTCTAGACATCACCACGCCCACGGGTCCAGACAGCATAACCGTCAACCTGGGGACCCTTGTTGGCATAAACTAGTACGGCGCGCATCTGTCTCTGCGCTAGGGCCCTAACGCTGCGTCCTCTGACCTGCGGCGTTCTATTAGCACAAGTGCCTTCGTGGAAGATTCAGTATATTCGACATTCTGTCCATATGCAACAACATTCTATTATTATCAGGCCTGGCTGACGATATAGTACTGTTACAGCGAGTGCTCACTATCAGAGTGAGCCGTGATACCTTTTTGGCTTGTCTGCCTCACTGGGCCGGAGCCGGGGCTTGACAACTATATCTAATAACATGCTATTACATCTAACAACATTCTGTCTTATATCTAGTAACATTTCATCTATATGCAACAACAGTCTATCTATACGCAAGTCGAAACGGTGATCTAGAAAAGTCTGTGCAGAACGCCTACAATAAGTTCAAAAACTCCAAGAACGGAGCCAACAGGTGGTTACAATTGACTCCCGAGAAAAGAGTAGAGACGTCCACCCTTCCCAGCGACCTTAGACAAGTTTCTTGGTAAGATCTATCGCAAACGTCGCGCAATTGTACGTCTTGTGGTTATAAGTCTTACCCTTGATTTCAGATTGCGCTACACAGCGACATTAGCCCGATGCCATGGGTTCGAAAAAGAGAGCGACAACACTCACCAAGCGTAGCGATACTATTATGCGTCTTCCTCCCATCTTTCACCTGCCCCATGTACTGAAACGCCTCCTTCCCGTTCTTAATCTCCTTGTAATTTACCTCATAGCTGAGCACAGCCGCACCATCTCCATTGGGCTTTGACTGCCACGTCGTGTCGTGGAACATGAGTCCGTACTCCCAGTACCCTTTGCTTGGATTACCGACGATGATGTCTTTGTGGCGGCCGCCGGTATCTTTCATGAGCTGGTTGAGGCCTTCGTGCGGGGCGCCGCCGCGCTCGTCGTAGGTTATCGGGCGCTCGTCGGTGCGGATCCAGACGTGTAGCTTCGTGGCGTCCTTGCCTTTGGGCAGAGCTGGGGTGGCCCTTTTCGACAGCTGGAAGGCTTCAGGCGTATGGGGAAGTGTTACAGGGAAGTCTCGTGGGTGCGAACGCACTGATCGGACTGGGTCGTCGGTGGTGACATCGGCCGAGACGTAGCTAAAGAAACTCGCAACAAGAAGGATTGGAGCGTGAAACTTCATCCTGATAATTGAGAAAGGAAAATGAATGATGGCGAAGAATGTTTGCTAGAAGAGGCTCAATCTGGAATTCACTCAGTGATACTGTTAGTGGTGAAGCTACTTGGCAGAATATATCCTCGCCATATCATGTGGAGTGTCCCAAGTTCAGTTCCGGACCAAGCATGGGACTGACAAGTGTCCAGCATATGTTGTCCGACTACTGTCCGTTCCTACATCACTATTAAGACATAGCACATAGCTATCCAAACGAATGACCTCAAGGTACGTAGACCGGGGCGTCTGTTGGCGTGCCGTCAAACGCGATGGAGTCCGCTGTAAGACATTCGGGTGGAAATACGAGGGCCGGACCGCACTTTGCACAGCTTCCATATGAAGCTAGATGCAGGAGAAAGCGAAGAGAAAGTCCTACCCACTTTACGAGTCTGACTGTTCGGAGTCCGATGGGCCAATGGACGTCACGTGTCAAGCGCGGGTATTTAGGCAGCTTCCTTCTGAGGCAACTGACCCAATACAACATAAACAAAGAAGTCACGCTGAACACCAGAAATACTGTACGGCAATGGAAGACGATACTGTGCCGAGCATTAGCCCAGAGAGCTTTGTGAAGTTCAGTGATAACGACCGCTGTCGCGTCTCCAGAAGCAGAGTGCAAGACTTCCTAGATCGAGGACTGATGAGCCAAGGTGACACAATCTTCGAAAGTTCTACAGATCCGATACTGAAACGCCGTAGATGCAGTATACCAGAGGTACACAGAGGAGTTGTCTGAAAGACTCACCAGCCTCCGGAGGGCCGATCACCCCACCATCATAGACGACATCAGAGTGTCTTTTGGGCAATTACGTGACCCAGTCACTGGGTGTAAGATACAGCTTCTCACATCTGAGTCCCTTGAATATGCTGATGGTTGCAGACCTTTCGAAAGACCTGCTTGAACAATGGATCACTAAGCGAATCTCCAAGTCAGCCGTCAACGTGCCGCAGCCCCTTTCAACAGTGCTCTTCGACATCATCGCCTTCCATGCTTTCTACCCCTTTCCCATCATTCGTGGATCCGAGCAACAGGTCCAAGTCGACCAAGACGGCTTCGTGCGCGCAATCTGTTTGCTCACCCTCTCGCCTGCTCCGCGGTACGGACCTAATAGCTCCTTCTCAGCAGCTAGACACGGGCGCTACTCGGGAACCTGGGGCCCCTATCTTGGATGGTATATTGCGCTTCGCGGAAGAGACGCGAGTGATTTCCGCAGACGGATGTTTCGCTGCCTGGCCATCCCACTTCTGACACCTGGAGAAAGCAGGCCTGTTGGCGGGGCTAGGTGTACGATGATCGAGGTACCGAGGTTTGCGTACTACGAACCAGTCCCACAAGATGAAGGAGAGGAGGAAGAAGTTCCAGAAATCATCGTGGTAGAAGGCGAGAAGGAAACAGAGGTCGATGTAATGGATGTGCTGTCTGAGTGTCCTCCTGAGGTGGACAGACTGACTGCAAACCCATTTCGCGAGAGCTATCGGCTTGTTCTACCCAGTATACCGAGATCCAGTGAGGATCTGACGGAGCTTGGTGTCACGACCGAGAAGCTTGTTGCGCTGGTGCAATTACACGAAAAAGTTCAGAAAGAAGGCACGGAAGGCTTAGTGTGTCAGATCCAGAGCGCAGGCAGGGACGGCATGATTGGATGGCTGGAGTTCGAACGATTGTTCGTGGAAAATTCGGTGAGTGCCTCGAGTCATGGTGTAGGAGGCGTATTATTTACTAACATGCATGGATAGGAATTCCTTGCTGAAGGTTTGTCGAGTATCTCTAGTACTTTTGCCGAGCGAAGACATGAGGACTTGATCTACCCGACTACGCAAATAGGGAAGAGCATTGTCATATGAATGATCAATGTTGATAGTCCTTTGGCTCACAGCTAGAAAAATTCCATCATACTTACCATGCGATAGACGTATATGGGGTTATGCAAGGAGAACTATTGAATTCCTCCATGCAAGGTACTCTCCGGTGCAAGAGACATTGTTCTTTCGACTTTATATCCTTTACTACTTCTAGGATGATTCAAGTTTTCAACAGCCGCTTTTTGTTCGTTTTATGAGTGGAGCAGTTTTGGAGCAATGCGCATTACACTATATTCGTGAGTGTCGTGCAGCTCGAAAAAATGCCTCATGTGAAGTGAACGGGAGTGTTATCATTGCACAAACGTCATGGAAAGAATCTTTCAGTAAAGCCGTGTGCCATGCCTGGAGTGTGGCATTGATCTATATTACCGATGTACCTTACATGTGTTTCTTCTCAACCTTTGGCTTAGCGACCCGCCCACTAGAGAAGCAGCAATGTCCTACAGTCTCTTATCCCCTCTCAGATATAGATCCCCACTTTACCCTGCCTAAAGCTGGCCCAGCTGCAGGTACCCACGAAAGAAATATGAGTGGCGAGAGTTCGGAAGCCCAGGATTGATATCAATCCAGACAGACCTATTAGTACAAGTAATAAAGCCAGCAGCGCCGAACTGGAAAATCCACAAGCAGCCAGAGAAGAATCCGGTACCAGAACGCCATCGCGATTCCACCGATCGATTCTCACAACGAACAGCATTTGTGACGCCAGCCAGTGCAGGAGACCGCTTAAAGCATTGAGTGGCACTCCAACTTTCAGAGGGAGCAGGAGGAAATAGGTCTCGCGCTGCTCTCCTCACGGTTTGGTAACGCGCAAACCTTTTCTATGAGTGCCAAACTGGCCCCACTCATATGCTATTGCCATGCTGGTAAACATATTATTGAAGTAGAGTGAAATGATAGAGAGTAGAAGCTGTGGCGAATTGGCGATGAAGGCAAGCCGTGCCGTGGTGTTTCCGTCGAATTTCTGGGAGCCTGCAGAGAAGCGCAAGGGTGAAGCTGCAGCCCAAGGAGTAAAAAGGCATCCAGCCTGCGGCGAACAACAGAAGTCCACTCAAAGGAATCCCGAAACCACTGAACGATGCATCAGTATCTACCATACTTCAAAGAATAGGCACTCACTCACAGAAAACTGAGAAGTACGCGTTTGCGCTTGCTGATGGCCGAACCGTAGTTGTTGGTTCTTTCTTCCCAGATCCCTTCACACCTTCTGTCCCATTTTGCAGCACGGCCGTCCTGTTCCCGCGCCAATGTACGCTTTAGGCGACCAGTTTTCCAGAGGAACTCAGCCTTGGAATATGTACAGTAATCTTGAGTCGAAGAATCTGGAGCCTCCAAAAATGACGAGATGGCGTCGCCAATGGTGACTAATGGCGGATTCATATCATCTGTACCCTTCCAGAGAAGGAATCCGAGGCATCCGACTTTAAAATCATTACAGGCAATCACAACCATCAGGAAGGTCAAGCTCATTTGCACCTCCGAGTTTAGAACAGGTCGTGCAAATGCTCCATCTATATGCAACAGGAGAGTCGTGGTGTTCGTATCCCAGTACTCATTGAGGTCCGTAGCTTTCGCCCACCCTCTTGGATCAATAGCCTGCGCCCAGACTCGCGACTTTGAAATGATAGGTGCTTCTAGTAGTAATTTGAGAGTGTCGAGTGTGAGATTACTCTCTTCCCTATCATTGAACATGCTGAGGGTAGCGTATTCCATCGATATTTTCCCCACCCACAAAACTACATCGCCATGCGCGGAGACGTACTCCTGATCGTAAGTGGTTTTTATCTCATTGATGCTCAAAGTACTCAGATTGTACTCCTTATTGGTGATCCCCTCGTCAAGGCCTTCCAGGCAGAGGATCCTTTGTCAACGAAGTCGATGCTGTAGTCGTTTGCGGTCACCACCTGAAAGATGCTGGCGTTGTAACTAACTACTGTCAAATTCATTAAAAAAATGGTAATCGTACACCCACAGTAAGTGCAAGGGGAGAGATGATGTGCATAGAGCGAACCAAAGCACTTTCCTCCGCAATGTGAGGGATTTGATATTGCGCATGCTGAGAATGCCAATATCTAGCCACCTTCCCTGCCGGCGTGCTTGAACGCACTCTTTATGTGTCGGTGCCGTCAGCACTTGCATCGCATAGTTGCTCGCACTAAGAAGCAGTGTGCTGAGGACATTTATAGCGATGTGCAGTAACGTGCTCCACCGGGAGACCTGGTCCGTACTACCAGTGACGATGGTTGCGATGCCTTTTTTGTAGTCTGAATTAGATAACGCGCCCACTAGGGCGCAGATAGCTGATCCTGTAAGTATACCGGTACCCCACTGCCATCCATTCAAGCGACTCTGCTGTTTCCAACTGTCCACTACCTCGAAAGGAATGTGTACAAAATTTTGATGCGCCCTCATAGAGCCTTCAGGCTTCGATAGTTTTGTGATGTTGAGCTGGACGAAGAGGAAAGCGCAAGTTATTGGACTGACGATGTGGTTGAGCCCACTGGCTCGCCATAAGTGACCGTATCGAGATTCACATGACTATGAAAGCCACAGATCTAGTGTTAACTCTAAGAAAGAACAAATAGATAAGAATTAAAATTACCTCTGGGTAGGATCAAGCTCAAAAAAGTGCTCCTCGGCACTAGGTCTGTGGTAGAGCAGGCTCATGGCGCTCGTGGAACACTACCGGACCTCAGGAGGTCTGAGGGGGCATGCTCAGCGCGATTCGGCTCTGAAGACTCTTTATGCAAACAGATCGATCACCTTACACAGCCACGTCTCTTTTCTTCGTTGCCGCTATTAGTATTGTGGCCAATGAAGCGCAGTCGTTTGCGCCAATTCGGCCTCAGGACGACGCAAAGTTGGCAGTCACGCTGCAGTACGTATGTACCTACCGGTACCTACCGTGTCCGTGCGCGTGATGCGCGGATTCGCGTGATGCGCCGAACCACCAAAACAGCTCTATTATCTCAGCTCTACAACAACGCAACGCAATGGGATTAGAAGAAGCGCTTGCAGAGTGTGATACTTTTGTATCTGAAGATGCTATTCCATGGTCTAAAATAGCAGAAAAGCATGGTATTGTGCGGTCAACGTTGACGCGCACGTGGAGGGGTGAGACGCGTCCGCACAAAGAGAAGGTTCTTGCACAACAAAAGCTCACCCTACAACAAGAGGAGGAGCTTGTACGATATATAGAAGAGCTTACTGCTCGTCATATACCTCCTACAAGAGAGATGATAGCCAATTTCGCGTCAGCAGTCGCCC